GTACATCTTGTCCCTGGACCCTCCCTCTTTCTCTTCTGCTTCCCAGCTGCTATGAGGTGAGCAGCTTTGCTTCTCCATGCATTCTATGTCAGGATGCTTAGCCTTGCCCCAGGCCAAAAGCAGTGACCATGGACTGAATTCTTCTCAGAAACAATGGGGATAAAGCTTTTCTCCTCTGAGGTATTTTTGGTCACAGCAATGTGATAAACACAACCTATAATTGCTTGTTACATGTTGATTTTCTGGAATTATCTATAACTCTCATCCTACCCCATCATCAACATCTGATAGCATTTTCTTTCTTTCTCTTTTCTTTCTTTTTTCTTTTCAGGGCATGATCATTGACACTGATTTTTTTTTTTTTATGCTGCATTACATAAGGCCATTTTAATGCAAGCAGATAATGTAATTTGAACCCATTTTCCCATACAGCCTGCCACCCTCTCACTTCTCACTCTTCCCACAGTTTTTCTAGCTCCCCTATACAGGTGTACTTCCATGTCATCTGTACATGCATGATTTTATGTTTATGTAAAATCCAGGACCCACAAATGAGAAAAAATATGGTATCTGTCTTTCTGAGACTGATTAAATTCACTTAATAGAGTTATCTCCAGTTATGTCCATTTCCCTGCAAATGATGTAATTTCATTCTTCTTTGTGACTGAAAAATACCTCTATTGTGTATATCAGCCACATATTCTCTCTCCATTCCTCTGTTGACAGAGACCTAGATTGTTTCTGTACCTCAGCTCCTCCCTGGCACTGGTTTCCTCCCATGGATTTTTCAGTGCTTTTTTCTTCACTAAAAACAATTTCAATGAATTCATTTCCAAATCATCTTCACAATAACACTTTGCTATCCATAAAAAAGTTGTATCACCAACTGTCAGAAAAATAATAGTAATAACTGCATAAATAGGTAAAGATATGTATATATGTATATAGCATGACAGCAAATTTACCCCCTTTTAAATTTATTTTTCTAGTATCTAAAATATCAGTTTAATTACTTTACTCCTAAAAACATCTTCTCCATATGGGACTGTAAAATTTTAAAGAATGATTTACAGAGGATCCAATTCCCTCAAAGTCACACTTCTTTCTACATGTCTTTGTCCCAGAGTTTACATGTATGAATGTCATACATGTATGAACATCATTGGACAGTGTTAATCTCCCTGTAGAAGGAGATGTCTATGGTGACAGTCATACAACAGCTACTTGAAATAAATCAATTTACAAAGATAAAAATGATTTCATTTTGGATCATAGCTTTTGAGGTGCTGTCCACAATCAGATGGACCCATGAGATTTAAAGTCTAAAAGAAGGCTATACATCTTGATGGGAGCATATGGCAGAACAAAGCTCTTTAGCTCATAGAAAGAGAGGAAGAAGGGCCTGAGGTCCCAATACCCACTTCAAGAGGTGTGGTCACTGACTGGAAGACCTCCCACTAAGCCCCGCATTTTCAGGGTATCACTCTCTCTTCATGTGCAGGAGCTGGGAGCTTAACCTTTAACACATGAGCCTTTGGGGGACCAGTGTCCAAACCATAGCAGAATTGCTATTGATTCAGATGGAGAGGAGTGCGTAGGCAGCCAGTGTGGGTGACCAATGAACAGTTCCATTTGAATCACACTAAGCTTGTGTTACACATCCAAGTGATGCTCACAGGAAGCCAGCCAATCTGACCTGGTAATGGAAGATGCCTCTGTGCTTCTTAAAACATATAAAAGGCTTAGAGCAATGTGATGCTCTTAAGAAGAAAGAAAGCAATACTAATGACTAACATGGTTCCTTCTCTGTGGACCATGTCTTTCAGTTTGTCCAAAATAACTTTAAGGCTTAATCTTACTATATTTACTATATTCATTATACTCTGATCTGGGAATTAAAGTTCTCTACAAGCTAATCCTTTCCTGTCCTTCTGAGGTTTTCCCTTCTTTACCCATATACTACCCTTTAACTGTGGGGAGGGATCAGACTTCACATTTAAAAATGAAATGTACTGGGGCTGGAGAGATGGCTGAGTGGTTAACAGCACTGACTGCTTTTGCAGAGGACTCAGGTTAGATTCCCAGCACCCACATGGCGGCTATGAACCGTCCTTAACTCCAGTTCCAGGGGAATCTGAAGCCCTCTTCTGACCTCAGCGGCATTGCACAACACGGGTGCACTCACATATATGCAGGCAATACACTCATACATATAAATAAAATTGTCTATTAAGGAGAAAATGCACTCCCTTTTGGTCTTTTTGAGACAGGGTTTCCCTGTAGCTCCAGCTGCCTGGAACTCACTCTGTAGACCAGGCCAAACTCACAGAGGATCCACCTGCCTCTGCCTCCCAAGTGCTGGGATTAAAGGCATGTGCCACCACGCCTGGCTAAATAAAATATTTTTTAAAAAATGAAATGTACTATGTGTACATTCAGTCCATATAATTTTTGAAAATGTCCACTGAGTGAAAAAGTCTTAGCAGTAAGAGATGTGTAGTGTGATGGTTAAGATAATGGGTTCCAGCTTTGAAATGCCTTTAGATGAATTAGCACGTGGAGGCCAGAGGTCAATACTGGGTGATATTCCTCAGGAGTTCCACCTTGTTTTTCTCTCACTGGACTTGGGGCTCACCAACTAGGTGAGGCTGCCTGGTCATCAAGCTCTGGGATCCTCCTGCATCCTCCTCCCTAGCATCAGAATTACAGCACATGCCACAATGCATTACTTTTTATGAAAGATCAAACCCAGGTCCTCACGCTTCCTCAGCAAGTGCTTTGCCAACTGCGCTATGGTCCCAGTCTCTAGTTTTTAGTTTCAATTGAAACTAAGACTGAAGATTTTCCTGTGGCTTTATACTTACTCTGGTTTTTTGTTTTACTTAAAATGTAGAAAATTCAAGACAGTAGGCTAAAAGAAGTAAAAAAGGGTTAGGATTTTTTAAAAATAGGAGTTGAATCCAATCTATCAATGCTTCTACCATCCTCTGGCTTCCCCAATCCAATACCTTGCCTAAATAAGCTAATTAACAATTCAAATTTGACTCAAAAGGGAGAATACTAAATCTCTTCTCCCTTATGTTATTTTAATTATGTATATTTTGCTTTTAAGCATGGTTCTTTGGGAACAACAGAATATGTTTACTACAGAAAAACACATTCTTAACCTTGCAATTTTGGAAGCAGAAGTTTGTCTCCATGGTAAGATGGTGGGAAAAGAGTAACATTAATAGAAGATAGCACAGCAGTAGTGCACATTTTGGAGTGTAAAGGAAAGGCTTCTTAGCCTCCCCTCCTAGAACAATGCTGTGAACTCTGTTATGTTAAATTGGTGACTAGGAGAAAAGGGAGTCTGCCACACTAGATCTCAAAGTAGAAGTCAATGGTCAATTCTCTGGCAGTGTCTAGAGAAGCAGGTGCCTCTTGCACCCACGACACATGGCTTGTGAGAAAGGCTTGGAAAATACCTCCAACTACTCAGTAGCAGATTCGTAGACATAAAATAGTGCTTTAATCTTTGCATCCTGAGGTTGCTGGTCACAGAATATCAGTGTGCATGTGAACTTAAAAGACAAGGATTGTCAGGCATTTTAACTCTTCTCCAGGCCAATTTCGGATCCAATCACTTCCTTCCCTTAAACTTTTTAACTCCCTTTGCTAAATGTCTAATGACATGCACCTCCTTATATTATTCTCCACATTGCATTCTGGGAGGATGTTTTGATTCCTTCCGATTTATCCATGTGATTGAATGTCTACAGTGTTATTTGGGAGTTGATATAATGCATCCTTTTTTAGCTGTTATAATCTTAATTTCTCAAAATAATTTTCTTTTGTTCCACCCTCTGTTTTGTAGCCTGTACTTAGATTTTTCTCTTTCCTAATTATTTACATGGTTGCATCCTAAAATAGTGAAGCTTTTAATATGATACCTATTTAAATGACAAGACTGATAAATAATAAACTTTATTTAAAAATAATCATATAAGAACATAAATGTGTATGAGTGGTGTATGTGTATGTGTGTGCATGTGGAGGTCTGAAGTTGATGTTGAGGGTTTTCTCAATTATCCTTTACTATTTTTTCAGACAGTTTCTTATTAAAATTGGAGCTCATCAGTTTGGGTAGGCATTGGCCAGTGAGCTCCAGGGGTCCAGCTTCTTCCTCCCCTGACCCCCAGTCCCGAGGTTACAGATGCACTGTGCTGCACCCAGACTTTTTAAATGTGAGTGTTGGGGGTTTGAACTCAGGTCCTCGTGCTTCTGTGGCAAGCACTTTACCAACTCAGCCAGCTCCCCAGCCTCCCAAAATATATATTTTGTAAATGTCATTCCTTTGAAAAAATGTGGAATGATATTCATATAGGGTTTGGAATTAATTTCAGAATCAGTTTACCATTTTTACAAGAAAGTCACCCTCCTACCACTATACAACAGACCTTCCTATTTAGCCAGACTAGTGTAACTCACCTAATTCACCAGAGAGCACCAGATTCCTTTGATGGTTTCCATAATTCACAGCAGTCTTACAGGATGAAAATACAGTCCAGAAAGGCTTCTCAGAAGAAGGTGGGCCATGTCCTAAAAACAATGCTGAAGGATAGTTTTAAACTTATGCTTGAATAATGGCAGAAAAATTAAAACGGTCCCCAAGAATTTGGGAATGGAAACTTAACTTTGACCAGGTAGGTTGCCTCATTTCTGGTAACAAATTAAACTTAGTATTTCATAGTCACACATTAATAGCCAGCCATTATTATTATTTTGTGTGGGGGGTGGGGAATGCTCGTGCAATGGTGCATGAGTGGAGGTCAGAGGACCAAACTTAGGCTGTCAGGCTTGGTAGCCAGTGCTTTTACCCACTGAGTCATCTTGCCAGCCCTCAAAGTTTTTTTGGTAAACTTAGACTATATTTTAGTACACACTGTATTTAAATTCCATATTGTACATGTAGAGAACATTCTCTTAATAATAGCAACATGTCTTCTTGCTGCCTTTAGGTCTATATTTAATAAGAAGGAGCTGCTGGAGTTTGCTGAACTCGGGTCCTATTTGGAGTATGATCTCTTTGGTACAGAACTTCTTCATTACCAGTTCAATCCAGATATTGATATGCCTGATGATAACAAAAGAATTCGAAGGTAAATATGCTGAAGTCTCTCACAGCATTCTCTTTTGCCAGCCCTTTTGGCTTGTCATATCTGGGTGAGTATTCACAAAGATTTGGAAAATAGTAACAGGCTGAGCCACAGCCTTGGCAGAGAAAAATATAGCTAGCTGTTTCAGGGAGAAAATCTCCCTATATTATTTCAAGAAGAAAATGAGTCATACTAAGTAGGCTAAAGCTTAACAGAGCCTTAGAAGTTCGATGGAGATGGACAGCTGACAGGAAGCAGATAACACCCTACTCTTGCCATAAGAAAAGAATGAAAGCCATTTTCCCCCTTTTGCCCCAATGAGATCAGCTCTTCCTTCCTCATTCTGATCACACTACGTTATGGCTTCCTACAACTAATATTTCAAACGCTTTATTAAGAGCTTATTCATTAAAGGGGTGATCATTACTTAAATGTTAAAATGCAATGTGGAAACACCACAAAGTCATGTAAAGTGCAACCTCCTCAAATTGCCTAATGTGTGGCAAAGCAAATAACTGTAGAATTCATTCTTTTCAGAGTCAAAGATGGCTGCCTGGTTTGGGCATGGTGAAGATTGAACCAACCGACGTAGGAAATCTGAGAGGGAAGCAGATCAGACGTTGACGAGGAGCACTAGTCTAGAAGTAGCTAAGCACTGTTGTCCCTAAAATAACAACTAAGACCAGGATATGAAGCTTAGAGCAGAGGCTGGGGCTGAGATAGAAATGTGAGCATCACTGGTTTAGATGAGACTGTCCAAACCATGGGACTAAATAAACATTCAGAGAGAAGAAGGAGAACAGAGACCTGGGGACACAGCTAATGAAGGGACAGTTAGAACAGCCACGAATGAGCAGGTAGAGAAGTTTTTCAAGCTGGTAACATTGAGGGAAATGTAATAGATGTCAGGAAGGAGACAAGCTTGCTGCCAAAAGCCTGAAACACCTATAAAATATACCCGATGTCAAGTGAGATCAGGACTGAATGATAACCACTAGACTTCACAGTTTCACAGTCAGGAAGCGTGGGGCTGAAGGGAGAAGCAGAAGGTTAGGAAGAAGAGAGTGTAGAGGTTGCTCTGTCAGCGTGCAGTAGTAGAAGGAGGCAGTGGGAATCTAGAAGACACCAGGGTCCAGGGAAACTTGCCAGAAGTTGAACAGTTTACGCACTAGGAGCAAGAGCTGGGGTGAGACAGTGGCAGAGGCTGGATCCAGGGAAAGAGTTTAATCCCACAGGGTTGTTACAGCATTTATGTAAAATAAAGTCAGAACATTCAGGGAACATTCAATGGGTATTCCCCCAAAACTATCTGAAGACATAAGAAATAAAAATCTAAGCTTCCAAGGAAACAAATAGGTGGGATCTGGGGAACAAGCCGAAAATTGAGAGGATTTCTCCACTGAGATAAGAGAGTAGGGGGCAAACAATAATGTCGGTGCAGATAAACGACCTAGGGAAAGGATCAGGAAACTGAGGCCGCATAACCTTGTGTTCTCTCAGAGGCTGTCTCCTGAGAAAAAAGGAGTGGCTTTAAGGCAGGACCTTGCAGAAGGAAGTGTAGGAATGGCCGCTGGGTTGAGTGCATGATTGTGAGAATCAGTTAAGGCTGGAAATCACAGTTGCATGACTGTGGAATGCCACCAGTGCACATGATTTGCAGTGTTTTCCCAAAAGATGTTTTGAGCATTGGTTGTAGTGTCCATGAAGCACAGTGAGTAGAAGCAGAGAACTCCAACACTGAGAGAGATTGGAGTTGGGATGTTTTTCTGAAAGATGTAGGTGATCACCAAGTGAACCCAGAGGGGTGAGAAGTGAAGGTCATGGAGTTCAAGCTGAAGGCAAGAAAGTGTGAAAAGAAATTTGTACACATATAGGAAGAACAGAGCAAGTGACTGGGGGCTTTAATGAAGTGAGTGACTATAGACTATAGATAGTAGAACAGGGTTAGGGGAAACAGAAAAGAGACTGTGGTCACCATGGGAGACTGAAAATTAAGATTTCAAAGAGGAAGCCCTTCTTCATGATGGCAAGGACCAGGGTATGAGTATGAGGATAGAAAACTGTGAGGACAGGAGCAAACAAAACCAATGCTTGAGAAACACTGAAAAACCAAACTGAAACTCAAGTACCAATAGCTGAATATGCATCCAGTGGGCTTGAAGGTAATTCCTCAAGCCAGTGTTGACTTAGAGCATGCTTAGGATTGCTTCCCCAGGAAGATGACCTTCTGCTACCCCTGTGTTTTGGCATTCCTCCTTAGATATGTCAGTAACAGTAAAATATGCTTCAAGTTCAATGTTTAAAGTAGTGACCTCCTATGTGAGCAAACTACTTCTTCTAACCCGACGAGTGAGGCTAAGTCTACTTTATTCTTAAATCAGTTCTTTGATAGATTCTTTGTTTTTTTTTTTCCTGTGTGACTACATATATATGCTTGCATGCATGCATCTTTGAGGGGGTTTCAAATACACATGTGTGATGTGAATGTGGAGGCCAAAGTTGCTGTTGTCTCCCTCATAGCTCTCCACTTTATACAGTGTGGCACAGTCTTTCACTGAACCCAGAGTTTGCTGATTTGTCTGATCTAGCTAGCCAGCTTGTTCCAGAGATCCCCTGACTCTGCCTCCGAAAGCTGGGATTACAGATGGGCCAGTAACCGCCCACCATTTTTATATGGTTGTTGCGGATCCCAACTCTGGTTCTCGTGCTTGTGCTGCAGCTGCTTTCCGGCTGAGCCGTCTCCGGGGCCCCTATTGCTTCTTTACTTTTTCCATGAGTTGGACTTCCCTGATCAGGAACACCCTTAGTGTGAGTAAACAGGTTTCACTAAGGCCCTACTGATTCGGCCGTACTCAGAGGTAACTTTCTTTGTGCACAGACACTTGGACTTTAAAGTAAGATGTGATAAGCCTTCTTTCATTATCTCAAAAAGAATCCATGCTGAATGCCCTCAATACATTTTAAACTCAGTTTGGAGATGGGAAGTTCCCACTCTGGATGAACTCTTTGTTCCTAGCCCTCTTTGTGCTACAGAAGTGCATCTTTTACACCACTCTGCTTTCTGTGAGGTGCCCAAGCCTTCCCGAACAAGAGCAGGGAGCAAGCAGTAAAGACAGATCTATGATGACGGAAAGATGGCTGACAGCCATTCCTTCTTTGCTCATTTTGGCTATTAGTTCAAGAACAAAAATTAATTTTGTTTATCTCTTATTTGGTCAAATGTAAGCATTCTGAAAGTATTAAAAACACCAAAATATATGTAAATATAAACGTATCTGTACATATGATGTGTGTACACATGTGTTTGTATGCATGTATGTATACTTAATCTTCCTTAAATCAATACCATGCATTTGCTCACTGTATCTGGCTAATGGTAATACCTGAATGATTTGGGGGTCATGTGTGTTTCCATCCTGCACTGCACCCATGTCTTGAGCACTGGTTAGCATCTGTCATGGGCAGTCTTTTTCTAACCATAGGAACCTGAGATCTTCAAGTTACAGGAGCGGAGAAGCACTTCTGCTTACCTCTGCTTTTCAGCACCAGAAATTCTGCATCTAACACCTGCTTTCAATCTTACTCTCTATTTCTCAAATCTTATTATATCTCTGCCTTTTCACACTTTGTAGTCTCTCTCTAATATTTGTTTGCAAAACATGAACTCATTTGTGTTGCTATAATTACTGTGGTTTTTTTTTTTTTTGACTTCTCATCTGTAGTGGTTCCTCCTTTCTGACAGTTTCCCTATAACTCCCATTCTTCGGCACAGTGGCATACCATGGGAGATGAACTCTCTGTGCAGACATGTTCTAGCATAGTCCCATCAGGATTGGCTTATGATTCTGGAGCCAGAGCATTATCTTGCTCATAAGACAATATACCTCCAGATTCTTGACTTCATAAGTTTGAAGAGTTTCAACTTTTTTAAAGAAATGAATTTGGTCATAGTTCAGCTAAACCAGGGACTTCTCTGTAACAGTGTTACAATTTTGTAGGGCTCCCATTTTTAAATAGGAGCATCTTGTCCATCATATTTTTTTTTACTGCTTCCGAATTTGATAACTTTGTATTTCAAGATGTGACAAGGGCATCTTTAGAAGAATGTGTTTATCCACATGTGTCTTTGTAATAATGAGATACCCATAATTCTCAGTTAAGCAAATGCTCTACCACTGAGCCTCCTCCTCAGCACCAGGAAGAATGGTTGTGAATTTCTTTTGATAGAGAAAAGGTGTGATATAGCTGAGATGGTCCTGGAGTTGGCTGAGCCCAAGGATGAGCTTGAAGTCCTGCTCCTCCAGCTTTCACCTTGGGAGTGGCTGGGACTACATTACAGGCCTGTGTGCCTCCCCCACCCCATTTTAAGTGCTGCTAGGGATTGGGCCCAAAGCCACTGATAGGCTAGGCCTGTGTTCTACCTGCTAAACTACATATGAAGCATGAGCTACCACAATTCTCAGATAATGAAAAAAGATTTAAAACCATGAGAAGAATGCTCAGGAAAAAAAATCAGGGAGAACTTAGGGCCTAAAAGCTCCTGAACTGACATTCCTTTGCAGTGATGGATCAAACTATCCCCCTGAGGTTCAGCATTGTATATGCATTCTGTCAAGTCTTTCCCTTTTTTTCATAAATGATCCTGTAACTCTGTCTTAGCTAATGCCCTGAACTACAGTTTGATACAAAAGTAAGTGCAGATCAGGACTTCAGGGCCAATTTTAACAAGCCACATAACCTTGGTGGCACAAATGGCCTTGTACTTGTGGGACAGGCAGGACACCCATGTGTGTTTGCTGCATCGTGGTTTCTTCACAAAGCACCGTGATTGGTTCTTCTCTTCTGTCACTCACGTTCTGTTGACCTTCAAATACAAGGTAACTGGTTTTAAAGGGTGGGTTCTCAGAGGGCAGGGCTTTTATGCCTTGGATTTTTTTGTGTGCAGTTTTGCTTCCCATAGTAGTTATTAAATAAGGCCCATGCTTAAGAATGCCAATAAATGCTATCTACTTATTAAAACAAAAAGAATACCTCTCAAAAGATCACCTCCAGAGGAAGGCACAATCTATCTGCCTATAGCCATTTGGTACTTTAGATACCCCCAGAACCATACAAGAATCCCAAAGAAATGACATTGTCTACACCTCTGACATCAAAGGCTCATAGCGGTCAGGACAGACACTGTCCAGAGTTCAGACACATACAGATGGTGGCTGTCAGGAGGTGACTCATACTGCGGATTACAGCACTTAACCAAGCAAAGAGGATTACATTTTTAGACAATAGCTAGGAAGCTGTCTGTTAGTCAATGGAATATGAATTTAAAGGAACATCTTATTATTTTAGCAGTCTTGTTGGCAAGGAAGGAAGATAGGGTAAAAACTTTTGGTTAATTTAGTCTAATGCTCAGCGTCAAAATTCCTGTAGACCTCAGAGGGACAGATGGTCTGAACACAGAGACCTCTGCCAACTCCACGTCATTGACTCTGTAACCACACATCCTCTGCCCTGCACTTGAAAATCAGCTGATTTTACTCTTAGTGTTTTATTCATAGAAGATTCCTTTTGTTTCTCTATTTTAATCAAATGCCCACCGGCTTTAAAATGAGAGAGGAAAAGTGATATCTCAGCCTTGAGTCTCCTAAGACAAGCATTTATAGACCAGAGCCAAATATAAAATTATTCTGTGAACTGTTATTGAGGTCATTCATTCAAATGGCACAGCATTGGAAGTTCTCTTTAATGCAGGATTGCCAGACAGTGTCAGAAATACCACAGACTAGAAATTTCTATGTGCACAAAATAAGGATCTTGTTCTTACTAGAGTGCAGCAACATCTTCATCTTTACCACACGATGTTTGCTAAGGGTCTCCTGCCACAATGAAAGGTAGAGTTTTTCCAATTAGCACAATATGTTTGGGGGTAAAAGGTTTAAAGCACTCTGAACATGTAAAATGTGAGACTGATGGCATGTAATGAGTTAACGTTCCTCACAGGGTACGCTTCCTGGTGGATGAGGGCTATGAAGACCGAATTCTCATGGCACATGACATACACACGAAGCATCGTCTGATGAAGTATGGAGGTCATGGCTACTCTCATATACTCACCAACGTTGTTCCTAAAATGTTACTTAGAGGTATAACTGAGAACGTACTTGATAAGATACTCATTGAGAACCCAAAGCAATGGCTAACCTTCAAATAGGATGGTGGTTTAAGAATGTAGACCTTAAGGCTGGGCGTGGTGGCACACACCTTTAGTCCCAGCACTTGGGAGGCAGAAGC